GCGTTGAGTCGACCTATGAGGGTTTCTATAGCCGACGAGCATTCGGTTTTCTCTACTGATGTATTCCGAGGATGTGTAATAGAGATTTTTTGTGTTGAGTTCCCGTTAGACCTGGTACCGATTGTGATGGGTGATGTCTGTGTCATAGTGGGCATGGATTGGTTGAGTCGGTTGGAGATGTGATCGACTGTGAGCGTCAGATGGTGACCATACGAGACCCTAGTGGGGGAGTACTTACGGTGTATGGCGAGGGTACCAGATTTGGATCAGTTTTCTGCTCTGCTGCCAGGGCGAGACAGAGTCTACAGCAGGGTTGTAGGGGATTTTTGGCGTACGTGATGGATACGCGGGTTGCTACAAAGAGGCTGAGTTCTATCGTCGAGGTTCCAATAGTGTGCGAGTTTCCGAATGTTTTTCCCGAGGAGTTGCCGGGTGTGCCTCCCGAGATGCAGGTGGAGTTCCGAATCAATTTGGTTCCGGGAGCGGCGCCTATTGCCAAGGCACCTTATCGGCTTGCGCCGCCAGAGATGCAGGAGATATCCTCACAGCTCTAGGAGCTGCTAGGGAAGGATTTCATCAGACCAAGTAGCTCACCGTGGGGAGCACCAATCCTTTTTTTCAAGAAAAAGGATGGTTCACACCGGATGTGCATCAATTACAGGGAGTTGAACAAGCTCATGGTCAAGAACCATTATCCACTACTGAGGATCGATGATTTATTCGATCAGTTGCAGGGGGCATCTTGGTTTTCCAAGATTGATTTGAGATATGGATATCATCAGATGAGAGTTTGCGAGGAGGATATCCAAAAGACGGCCTTCACAACTCGTTATGGGCATTACGAGTTTGTGGTGATGCCTATCGGGCTCACCAACGCACCAGCAGCGTTCATGGATCTCATGAACCGGGTGTGCAGGCCCATGTTGAATCGATCGGTGATCGTGTTCATCGAAGATATTTTGGTGTACTCGAGGTCCAGAGAGCAGCACGAGGAGCATCTTCGGGAGATTCTTGGAGTATTGAGGGCTGAGAGGCTTTATGCCAAATTCTCCAAGTGTGATTTCTGGTTACGAGAGGACCAGTTCCTGGGACACCTCGTTAATCAGAATGGGATATTGGTCGACCTGGCCAAGATTGAGGCAGTTATGAGATGGGAGGTGCCGAGATCCCCGTCCGAGATCAGGAGTTTTCAGGGTTTGGCCGGCTACTATCAGAGATTTATCAGAGATTTCTACAAGATTGTTGTTCCTCTTACCAGGTTGACCCGAAAGGGTGTCACTTTTGCCTGGGGGCCTGAGCAGCAGGCCTCATTCGAGACTCGTCGCCAGATATTGTGCGAAGCTCCAGTGTTAGCCCTTCCCGAGGGAGTGGAGGACTTTGTAGTCTACTGTGATGCATCTATATCAGGGTTGGGTGTGGTGTTGATGCAGAGGGGGCATGTGATAGCATATGCATCGAGGCAGTTGAAGCCTCATGAGACGAGGTATCCCACCCACGATTTGGAGCTGGGGGCGGTGGTGTTTGCCCTCAAGATCTGGCGCCACTATCTGTATAGAGTCCGGTACACCATATACACAGACCATATGAGCCTGAAGTACCTCATGGATCAGCCCAACCTAAATATGAGACAGAGGAGGTGGTTAGATGTAGTGAAAGACTACGACTGCAAGATCTTATATCACCCAGGCAAGGCTAATGTGGTAGCCGATGCCTTGAGCCGTAGAGCAGAGAGTTCTCCAATTCGATACATGTGTGTGAGGATGACAATGATAACTCCAGTCCTAGATACCATCCGAGAGGCTCAGGTGGAGGCTGTGAGGCCAGAGAACCTCAAGAGGGAGCGAGTGGTCAGCCAGGTTTCCGAGTTTGAGATGGATAGTCGGCGGCTTATGGCTTTCCGTGGGCGGATTTGGGTGCCCTATACAGGTGGAGCTCGGCGCATACTGACGAAGGAGGCAAATAGATCGAGATTCTCGATCCATCCAGGAGCCACTAAGATGTATTTGGATCTGAAGAGAGATTACCGGTGGCCCTGTATGAAGAGGGATGTGACATGGGTAGTTGAGAGGTGCTTGACCTGTCGCCGGGTTAAGGCGGAGCACCAGCGTCCACATGGCCCGTTACAGCCTCTAGAGATTCCCTAGTGGAAGTGGGAACATATTTCCATGGATTTTATCACCAAATTACCAAGAACCGCGCGAGGTGTCGACGCGATATGGGTGATTGTGGATCGGTTGACGAAGAGTGATCACTTCCTTGCTATCAGTGAGAGCTCTTCTGCAGAGAGATTGGCCGAGATTTATGTGAGAGAGGTGGTGGCACGGCATGGAGTGCCGACATCGATAGTGTCAGATTGGGATGTGCGTTTTACTTCCAGGTTCTGGAAGAGGTTTCATGAGGAGTTGGGTACCCGATTGCACTTCAGTACTGCATACCACCCACAGACTGACGGGCAAAGTGAGCGGACGATTCAGACGCTTGAGGACATGCTGCGAGCATGTGTCATGGACTTTGGAGGAAGTTGGGACACTTATTTGCCCTTATATGGGCTGAGGTGTCAGACTCCCATCTGTTGGGGAGAGGTAGGGCAGAGAGTGATGGGTAGCACTGAGATAGTACTCAAGACGACTGAGCAGATTCAGCAGGTCAGACAGAGGTTACTGACAACTCAGAGTCGTCAGAAGAGTTACGCAGCTCGGCGACAATCCGAGCTAGAGTTCGAAGTTGGAGATTTTATCTTCCTGAAGGTATCCCAGTGGAAAGGGGTGATCCGATTCAGGAAGCGGGGAAAGTTGGGTCCTAGATATATCGGTCCTTTCAGAGTAACTGCCAGAGTGGGGAAGGCAGCCTATCGGTTGGAGCTACCTGCAGAGTTGAGCCATATTCATAACACCTTCCACGTGTCTCAGTTGAGGAAGTGTGTAGGCGATGAGACTGCGGTGGTACCCTTAGAGGACATTCAGGTAGATGCTAGCCTGAATTACATCGAGAGACCGATAACAATTTTGGATCGAGAAGTTAAGACCCTGTGGAACAAGGATGTGCGACTGGTAAAGGTGCAGTGGGAGCACCGCAGGGGATCTGAGTGGACTTGGGAGCTGGAGTCCAAGATGCGCGAGCAGTACCCAGAGTTGTTTCCGGAGCATGACTTCGAGGGCGAAGTCTGATTCTAGTGGGGGAGAATTGTAACATCCCGACTCCCAGGTATAATATTTATATATTTATGTATGAGTTGTTGAGAAACTCGACGAGTTGGATGCCCCAACTCGTCGAGTAGAGGCAGATTGACCACGTGGGTTTTATGACCAACTCGACGAGTCGGAGAGACCAACTCGGCGAGTTGGTGCTGTGAGAGGAAACCCTAATTCTTCGGGGTTGGGTCCTATTTAAAGGACCTTAAGCCCTCATTTCCGCCTCACCAGCCACCTTACTCCCCTGTGTGAAACCCTAATCTCCTATATTGAGCTAATCTTTGGGCATTTTGGTGCACCTTTTGAAGAGAAGAGAAGATTATCAAGGCAAGGAACGAGAAGAGGCTGTTGGATCTGGTGTTATTTCATCTTTAGCTTCTGTGGAAGGTAAAAAGTCTTCACCTTGCTCATTATTGTGATTAGATCTCGTTTTCATGGAGTTTTAGGGCTTTTTCCATCTTTCCTTGAGACCTTGAGTGTGTTGATCATATCAAGTGATTGAGACTTCCGATCTGGACCTTGTGAGGTCTCTAGAGTCCAAAGGTCCCAATTTTATCCAGCTGTAGAGGAGCTTTTATGCTTAAGACCCTAAATAGAGCTTGTTTTGGCATTTCAAGCCCTAAGTGCCATGCATGGATGTAAAGATTGTAGCTTTACATGGTATCTGAGCCTTGGGAGGCTAGATCTAGAGTTTGCGGTTGTGAATCTGCCTTAAAACGTGTAAATGAGAAAAGATACTTAAGGGACTCGCCGAGTTGATGAGCCAACTCGACGAATCGGCTAGGGTTTTCCCCGACGAGTCTGGACAGGAGTAACTCGACGAGTTGATGAGACAACTCGGTGAGTTAAGTTGGGTTTTCGCGACTTTTCTGAAGGAACAAGGGAACTCGACGAGTCACATAGATGCACTCGACGAGTCGGGTCAACATGGACTGTTGAATCGAGTGTTGACTTCAGTTGACTTTAGGGTTTGGTCAAGACAGGGATTATTGAGACCATGGAGGGGTAGAATGGTCTTTTACCCATTCCAAGAGTTAGAGAGAGAGAGAGAATGGCCTTTGGTTTATTTAGAGTTGTGATTGGAGTGTTAATTAGAGATAATTATCACATGTGTTAGGCGGAGGCTAGATCGGTGATTCGTGTACGAGGTTTATTTACTTGCTTACGAGGTGAGTCTTCTCACTATACTTACCTTGTGTGGTGATTTTGTGTGACCTGAGGATCTTGTGTGTTTATATTGAGTATTGTGATATCCTGCATTATGTCTTTGTGATTTATGTTGTGTATTATTCTGAGCTTTACTGAGTTAGGACCGGAGGGTCCACCCGAGTTGTGGGACCGGAGGGTTCCACTTAGACACATTGACCCGAGGGTCTTATTTGAGATATAGCCATGAGAGGCTAATGAGTTATGTGTGGTATTTTGGGGAACTCACTAAGCTTCGTGCTTACCGTGTTATGTGTTATGTGTTTCAGGTACTTCTCAGGATCACGGGAAGGCGCCGGCTTGATTGTACACACGAGGCGGAGTTATGTTTTGAGGATCATGGATTGTGTTTAAACAATTTTATGAACATGTGTTTTGATAAATTTTCACTTTGGAGATTTGTGAACTATGTTAATGAGAATTATGTGATTTTTTTAAAATGAAAAATTTGTTTGAAAATTTCCGGTGTTACATTGGGTCTTCCATTGCATGACACAATCCAAAAGTTGTATCTATTAACTTTAGCTCCGGAGTAGTTGATTGCCCATTTGTGAAAACCGTTATTTCCGGACAATCTTTGATTTCCGAAGCAACTAACGATGGTCATTCAAAAGCCACCTTCCCCATGCAAAATCCAATGAGATTTGGAAGCCTGTGAAGTGTTATGGTTTTTAGACAAGGGAACACAACCTCAGTGGGTGTAATTTCAGAATCTTCAACTTGCTTGACAATCACATCCATATTCTTGCAGTTACTTATTTGTAGCTCTTGGAGCTGCAATAGACTACCAACCATGCAACTAGTGAACACATGTCCAAGAAGATGACATTTTCCAATCGACACCTTTGTAAGGTTTGGAAAGTTCAACACTATCCACCGATTGATCTTCCACATATGTTTCAGGTTTGGTAGTCTATCTAGAGTCACCTATTTTAGCTTCTGAAATACCACAATAGATTGTGTTCCAATATCCACATCTTCATTTGTCCCTTCTGCTACTTCAAATACCTCCTCTGTTACATAGTAATACTTGGCATCAGTAATAGACAACTTTTCAAGATTCTTCACATTAACCAACTCGTTGCATGGAAAAATTATGTGGCTTTTCAACAATTTAACTTCTATTTGTGCATCTACTTCAACTAAATTTGAAAAAGACCAAGGGAACTGAAGTAGCTTTATCATATCTGGAGTAAAAGTTATTAATCTGTCTGCATTTGGTTATTATTAACAAATTAATATGTTTTCACAAATGGGCAATCAGATTAATATGTTTCATAAACACCATGAAAACCCGCATGACATCCTCGAGGTCATTTATGATCTCACATTGATGTGCTGGTTAACCACACACACTCCATCAACAACCATAAATTCGAGTATGTGCTATCATTTCATCTTTGTAGTCGCACATTTAGTGTTTCGGTTACACACACGCTCCACTAACGACTTGCAAATAAATGATGTGCGTTTTCATGGATTAGCATACAATTTCACATTTTCTTGAAAGTAACTAGAGTGGGATTTTATATAAGGTTCTAGTACTTTATATATTATACTTTTAATGTGATTATGTCCTATCAAATCCATTCAACTAACAACCTTCCACCATGCAAAGAAGCAGTGCGTGAAAAGGACACCCATTCAAAGGTCATTTTATAGACCGTTTCCTTATACATCTCTTATAGTATGGCCTCGTGAATGAGGCGTACTAGAGATTCGACTGACTTTTAGTTATACGTATAGTAATATACTATTATACATATGTATAGGGCGTATTTTAAACTTTTTAAATTACAAGGTTCAAATCATATTAATTCAATTAACCTTTAGTTAACTAATGTTTGAATTAAATAAGATTTAAGAATTATCTTTAATTAAACCTTTAATTAATTAATATAAAATTTATTAAAGGATAATCATATTATCTAATTATCTTATAATTGGATAATTACATTTTTAAAATCTTCCTTATATTCAAATTAGGATTTTTAATTATCTCGTTTTTATATTATGATTTTAGACATTTAACATAATATTAGATAGCTCATAATCTGTGACAACTCGAAATTTCTATCTTGTACAACCATTCACTTCAATCGAAGTCGGACTTGTTTTTGCTAACTTTTAGCACTGTTTAGAGTCTGTTTGAGTGTTCTAAAGCCTAGTACCTTCAAGAAGTAATTATAGGAAGTATACTATAGAGTTCAATGTGCAACATTCAAGTCTCAAAACTCCAAATTGGAGTTTACGACCATAAAATGGAGTTTACGGCCATAAACTCTATGGTATATATATGACACTTAGTCATTTTTAGTCACTTTTACCACTTTCAAGCCTAGAACTCGGTTTTGCTCTCAAGTATCATCCGATTTTTCACTAAGATCTTCAAGATTGTAAGTGTTTCTTCCCTTGATTAGTTGCTATCCTTCAATATCTAGTGATTGTACATGATTTCATCCATGAAATCTCTTCATTTTGATAGATCTTCAAGTGTTCTTCATTTCACCAAGAACACAAAGAACACACACTAGTGTTCTTGGACCTTAAACACCCTTACAAGCTTCTTATAAGTAAGTACACTACTCTTAGCTTATTATATGCTTGAATCACTTGTTAAACTCTTTGAAAACATCAAGAACTCAAGAACATATGGTGTTTACGGCCAAGGCAATCTCCTTGGGCCGTAAACACTCATAAGTGGTGCATTTGTGCCACCACTCCATCATAAGGCTTAGACTTGAACTTAGAACATTTCCTGTTAACTTGTAAGACCTTAAAACACAAAGAAATCATGGACAAAAGGGTGTTTACGGCCAAGGCAATCTCCCTTGGCCGTAAACTCTACTTATTGGTGCAAAGCTGCCACAAACACCTTCCTAAGCCTTGGATCTAGGTCTAGAACACTTCCAAGATGAGTATAGGACCTTAATAATCAAAATGGTACAAGTTACCATGAGTTTACGGTCGTAAACTCACTGGGCCATAAACCCATGGGCCGTAAACTCATGTGGTAATTACCATTTGGGCCGTAAACTCCTATGTGAGGCCCTACACCCCTTATATGCAACCCTATGTGGTTTAACACTTCATAACAAGTGTTTCCTAGTCCCTAAGGTTGCTCCATTTCATGATTAGGTGTTATAAACACTAATTAGAAACATATATGTGTCATTATATGTTAAATAGGATCCGTGTGTGTGCTCAAGTCTTCACTTGACACTTAGCATCCTATACCACTCGTTCATCCAAACCACTCACTACAGGTGAGTTCATACCCCTTAATCTACCTTTTAAATGATTTTAAATGCTTTTATGGGGGGGGGGGGAATACAAGTTGAAACATTATAGTTATTATATCAATCACATGTGATTAATAACTATCAAACATATGGATTTTCTTACTTTTCAAACTGTGTTATGAAACAAACTACTTCAAATCGTTTTATAAACTCGTTTACATATTAAATACTTTTATTAAACTCTTTTAAACTTATATTTTGTCAAATGCGTATCTATATAGATATAGTTATATAAGTAGGATTGAAAGGACTTAGGACTGATAGCTCACCTTACTTCCTGTTCCTTGTTTGGTTGTGGACTTAGGGTATCGGTTGTTTGTCCGAAGGTCGTTTGAATCTTAGTTATATATTATGTATATGTATATAGATATAAAAGTTCCTTCATTCAGTTCAATACCTTTGGGTAGCAAGGGTATACAAACATGTTCATTCATACAAACAACATTGCTAGTAAACTATAATAGGTATAGTTTAGGAAGTTACTAATACTATTACTAGAACAATGAAACATACAAAGAGTCAGTTCATACATGAGTCAATACATACTATTATGAGAAACTAAGAGAACATACTATTATGAGAAACTAAGAGAACATACTATTATGAGAAACTAAGAGAACATACAATTATGAGAAACAATACATACTATACATTATACAAGAGAACATACTATGATGAGAAACAAAGAGAACATACTACATACTAGACAGAGAGAACATACATTACACTAGTACATACAAAACATATACAAGAATACTATAACATAAATGTGAGCCACTGTTTCGGGGCATGGCATCACCTGTCATGACTCGTTTTGTATCCAGAGTCTCCTAGAAGGAGAGCGTGAATTTGTGTATAGATCTATACTGGATTGACTATCCTACACCTTGTTGTTCGCTACAGTGGGACTTGCAAGTCTACGGGTGCCAAATGTCATTTCTTCCGACGTCTTTCATCGTCGTGTTATTAGTCGATAGTATGGCGCAACCATCTCACATTAAACCTTAATTAACGACCGGATTAAGGTAGAAAGTACAGCAGTAGTTACTATAATACAACACTACAGTACTTTATTATTTCCCCATTGCATTCACATTGTGATCTATTCACATAAAAGGTAATGTAAAACTATAATTTTGATTAATGATAGTCACACTTGGGAAAATACACACTCTTACAAGAAACAAACATACAAAATATTTGATGCCTTGGTAGAAGGCTACGTTTAGTAGAAAATATAGGATTTTCTAGGAGATGCAAACATTTACTACAAACATTTACAAACTTATACATCAAGCACTTACAAACATTTTCATACAAACAATGACACTAAAATGGTTATGAACTGACCAGCTTTAAAGCTGATAAACTCTTTCAAAATAACTTGTATTCTCAGTTCATCAGTAGACAGGTACCGATGCCAGGTTTTGAGAAGATGGAGCTCGTTCAAGACTCATCTCTTATTTTGATTTACATTTTTGGTGTCTTATAAACTTCACAGAACATAATTGTATTAAATTATATTATTAATGCAATGGATGATGTTGTTGCTTGTTTACTACTATGCTTTGTTGTGATATTGTACATGACGTCCTCCACCCCCGAACGTTTCCGCCGTTCCGGTTTTGGGGTGTGACAGATTGGTATCAGAGCATCGTTTATAGTGAATCGAGTATATAAACCCATAAAAGATATACAAACTATAAACACAGCGGGATTAAAATACTCTGATCCAGAGTTTATACTTTTAAATAATAAAATATTTAACTAAGTATACATACTTGCATTCATACTAAAATCAGTGTCACTAGGACAAAACAAAAGTATTACGATTGTTGAACATCACAAGTAGACTCGGGGATGTATGATCAGTTATGGGAGTGACATAGCCTGATCAACTATGTTGGTCCGAGAAGTGATTAGCATGTGCCCGAGAATGGTTGTGATGTGGCAACAAGTCTAAAAACTTACCAATACTACTACAATGAAAACATTAGAACAGAACATAAACCTAAAATACTATAGGAGTATTTTGTGTTACCATAATTACTTATCTGAGAACTAAAGGTCTTCATTAGTAGGTCAATAGTTGCTAAGTGGATACGCTAAGGTTATATGTAACTAGGATGTCATAGACTTAGAATCTGTGACCTTTGCTTTACTCCCTGTCCCTTGTGGATTTGGAGTTAAGGTCGCTTATTCGAAGGTCTATCCTGTTTTGATTTCATATAATTGGTATGCACTATGCAAGTATTGAAGTAACTGATAAATATCATCTTATAATTATCCAATTAGTACGTCTATTAATTATTTCTTTATCCCTATTTCTCCCGTAGATAACATGGCTGGATTCCATCCCCATGGCGACCCGTACTTCCCTAACCAAGGTGATGGGGGAGGGTTTGAAGCAGAGCCAGAGGAGGATCACCCAATCCCTTTGGATGATCACCAGGCTGAAGGCTTTTATGAAGGTTCGGACTCCGAGTCTGAGGTCAATAACCTACCCCCGGTGGCTCCTGTCCCAAATCCTAACCCTCGCCCTACTTTTCAAGGCTCAACGCCTTCTTGGGTGGAAAGCTTGGAAACATGGAGCCAAGAGCAGGATCAGCCCACGCCATTCAATGGAAACCGAAGCTTTTATGACCTGAGCAAAGGAGGCTCAGCAGACAGAGTCTTGCTAATCCTGGTCCGCAGAATTGCCCGAAACGAAATTCAGGGCAGTACAGCTCTCCATCGAATCATGGTAGTTAACGCCAATGCGAGAATGCATACCATCTGCACCATTCATCTGGAAGATGCTCGTGAGATATCTAGGGGAGACCACGAGGCCTTGCAGCAAGAGCTAGCTGAAACTCGAGCTGAAGTCATAGAGCTCCGAGTACG